TATAATTATATGTTGATTTAACTTATATATAATATTTCATTTCAATTCTCCATTATCAATTTGGAATATTATCCAATATTTTAACTTTTTATTAAGCAATAAACACACATAGATATAATTCTTATGATATGGATGTATCTATTTCTAACTAATAATAATAGTTTTAATAATTACAACTATTGCTAATGGATTATTTTATCTGGTCCATTTAATATACTTATGTTCAATACCTACTTCCATTATTATTACATTAGAAAATTATAAAGTTTTTAGGATATTGTTAAATCTATGATGGTTGGATGAGGATTGCTTGAAATTATCAAGTTTTCATTCGGTTAAGCTTATGGAAACCTGAAGAATCCAAAGATCTTTAAATAATCTAGCAAATATCTAGGTCTTGACTTTATATATGTAAATCTCTAAATTTAATTAAATCAAATTTCTGTAAATATAATATATTTCAGTAATCTTTTATATTTACTCTAAATAATATGAAAAATAGCAATTATTCATTCTTTTATTGAAATCTGAAATTAATATAATGAATTATTATAAGGCAAAAGCTTTCAAACAAATATCTACTTGAAAAGAATTAACAGTATAAAATGAAAAAAATGATTCAAATATATTAAAAAAAGAATTTCAAAGTAAATTTAATTAAAAAAAAATATATGAGCTATGAGTGTGCTCTTATTTTATCTTAATTTTTTTCAGATATAACTAAATCTATTCCTTTTAAAATAAAATTTAGATTTTTCCCACAGATTGCTCTTTATGTATATTCATTTTACTTTTGACCAAATTTATTTTCTAGTTATAAATTCCATTCTAAATTTTGCACAGATCTAGATTTCACAATCCTTTTTTAAGCTTAATATTTAGATCTAATAATTGAAACTATTAATTTACGGCCACTTTGAGCAAATATGAAATATTATTTCCTCCTTAATGGATTCTCATTATGTATTAAATCAAAATTTTATTTTTCAGGATATCTAAAATTCTCTTTAATGATATTTCATTAAGACAAATTTTCATTAATTTTGATCACAACTTTTTGTCATTATTCATCCCTGTAGATTCTTGTTCTTTCTCTACTTTTTTTTGAAAACAAAAGTATCTTGCAGTACTATCTCTTTGGAAGTTTCTATAATCTTCTATCTAAGGTAATGATCTTTGCTATCATGATCTTATTCATATTTCTGCTAAAATAATAGAAGACAATAGATCTGTATATACTTGGAGAATATTAGCCTAAAATATGAATTATTAAAGCGAGACCACTTAATATAATGTATTGATATTTTAAATATATCTATGAAAATTTAGCCTAAGCATATTTGAAATGACAAATAAGATTATATTGAAGTACAATAATGACTTATTTAAGAATAATAAAATTTTTTTAATTAAATAAAGTATCTTTTAATGTTAGATTATAATCCTTAATAATTATATTAATGGATTACCTATTATCGAAGGTTAAATCTGTAATATAAATGCTTGAAATCCAATAGCCTAAATATGCTCCAATTTACTATATAATTTCAAGTTCATTATTGTTTTCAATAAATTTAATGTTTAGTAAATTAATTTCAGATATTCCTTCATCTTAAAATGTATATTTTGGAGCAATTATAATGTGTTTGATAAACACTATGGTAACTAGTAACTAAAAAATATGATTGTATTTATTTACAACAGATATTATTCCCTCAATATTCTTTTTTTTATTGACTTTTTTCAAGTCTATTTTAAATATAGATTTGCTTATTCTTAATTAATAATAATAGCATATAGTATCTATAATACAGATATAATTGCATAAAATTAGTGTTATATTTAAGAAAGGATAAATTTTTATTGATATAAATTTTAATTTTACAATATATACAAAAAGCTGTTTATGAGAAGTTTATTAGGATATCTAGGAACTATTTTTTTTATTAAGGAATTAAGCAAGTTAGCATATCAGAAGGACAAGTTCTTTTTCGAACTTCTCCTATTTGCACATCACTTATGGCAATTTATTATTTAAAAACTGAAAAGCTTGAGAGAAATTTATTTGTTAATTTGATTTGTGCTTTTTGGGAATTTTCCTTATTTGTTAGCCATCTATTCTTTTAGATATGATGGGATATGAAAAGAATGATTAGCAAGTAGAGACATTGATTGGAATAATATTAATGATATCTGTTGCAATTTGTTCATCAATAATATAAGTGCTAATTAATACATTGGCAAAATATGTATACATTTTATCATAATTTAGGTAAACTAATTAGTAATTCTATAATATTTTTGTATAATAACTATTGGAGCAAAATCTATGAATTTATTCATCTTTCCATCTAAATAATGGGTTATTCCAAATAATTTTGTAACAACTATGCTAATAATGATTGGGGTTACTTCATATATTACATAGTTATTGATGAATAGAGCATATATCAAAAGGGAAATATCTATGTTAGGTTAATCATAAGTTATTTTTGGATATATAATAGATTTATTTATGGGAACAAATATGACTATTTTTAGTAGTTTAGGTAAAGAAGAAATAAATATCTGATATTTTTCTTTAATTAGAAATAATTCTATATAAATTTTATATTAATAAAAATAATCTAAAATTGCAATGAACAACTTAGTGGTGAATATTTGAAAAATAATACTTTAAATCGAGAAGCAGTTAAAAAAAGATTGACAAGAACTTTGGCAATTGAATTATTAGCTAATTTAAAATTGAAATTGTCTAAAAAATTAAATTAGATTCCATTAGATTATCATCATAGATGTTAATATATTTGTAATCAATTTATTTTCTATTTTAATATTAAAAATTAAAAATATATTTAATTTTTATTTATTAATAAAAAATAATAATAAAATACCTGCTTAATTGTAGCATCATTAATTAAAATTGTTTAAGATAAATCAAAAGCACAAAAAGGATCTTGAAATTAATTATATAATAGATTTATTGTTAAAATTATTTATGATAATTTTCAAATCTATGATCTTTTATTTAAAGACATTTGATATATTTTTTAAAACAATTAATTAAGAAAAATTCTGATGATTATTATATTCATTTGAAAATTATAGTTAAAAATGACTATTTAAACATTTTTATAAAATATCAACTTGATTTTATAAAAAATTATAGAATAACTTTTGGTTTTTTTTTCAAGCAATTCAACTTAATTGTTTAAAATACCTTACTACTAAATTCATATCATATATGATATATTAAACTTAATTTAAAAATTTAACAGTGGATTTGACATTAGCCTTACCACTTTTAATATTTAACATTACTTTTTTACAATTTGAGACACCTTATGTGTTGTTACTTTAGATGTAAATAAAAGGCATATTCAAAATCAATACTTTAAATTTTAATCTATTTCAAATAAGAAAGTAATATTTCTTAGGAAAGTAGATGAATTAAAACTATCTTAACTATTTAAATAATTATTAAAATATACAAGATAACATTTAATATTTCTATTGACTTTACTTAATAAAAGTTAGAACTGACTAAAGGAAAAATGTTAAAGTGTTATTACTTTGTTAATTATTTTAGGTAGTATAGTTATGAGTATATTTAATGCTAGATTTATCATCATAACCGTACATATTTCTCGTTTTTTAACATTTTCCTTTCTATCATTATGTGAGATTTCTATTAAATTATTTTCCAATAGTAATTAACTATTATTTTCTATTAAACTTGTTTTTACCTATTAATTAATTATAAGCTATTTTTATAAATTGTAAATTTAATTATACTCACATCTAAACATATTCAAATTTCTCATTTCCATAAAGATATTAATTATCCAACTATTTATCATTTTACTAGAGAAAAATGGAAACTCTAAAATCTAATTGAGCTATTTTTGATTATTTTTATCATTTCTAATCTCCTATTTTATTCATTATTCATTATTTGTATTTTATTTTCTATAATATCAAACCTAAAATTGATTTCTAAATTTTTACTTCTTATTAATAAAATTTTTCATTTTTTTTCAGTTTACCAATAATTATTGGAAAAGTGTAATTTAAATTAATTAGAAATACCAGAAATAATAAATATACTAAGTTTATATGTGTTTTATTAAATTTCATATTATATTTATGAATAGTTTAACAATAATCGAAGCTATTGTTTCTGCAACATTTGTTGCNAAAGATGATTTTATTCATTAGAAAATTATAGATATAATCAAGTTTATTTCTTTGGATAATATTTAAAAAAAATCATAGCACATAAACTAGAATATTTAATAAAGAATCATATAATAACTTTCTGTTTTTTTAAATAATTAAACTCAATTGCTTAAATTTATGATATTAGATTTTATTTGAGTAAACTAAAATAACTTTAAATTTTTATTAGGTTTTGTGAAAAATTTTAGATCAGCATTTCCTATTTTTGAAGTTGAATAAACTTTTTATTTAATTGATTTTCTCTAAGATTAAAGTTTTTGTCTCAATATTTGATATTCGAAATTTATTACTTTTACAAATTTGAGATACCATATTTTTTGTTACTTTAAATAAAAACAATCACAAAATCAATACTTAAAATTTTTAATCTATTTAAAATATGTTAAAATGTTATTTCTTCAAATTAGAAAAATTAAAACAATCTTAAATTTTTTTATAATTAGCAAAATATACAAGATGGCATATAATTTTGCTATAAACTTTATTGTGATGCAATAGTAAAATTTAGAAATGATGTAAAGAAAACGGTGAAAATTGTATTACTTTGTAAATTATTTTCTTAAAATAATCTATAACAGTTATGAGTGAATTAAATACTCTTCTTTATTATCATAAACGTACTTTATTTCTAGTTTTTTCACATTTTCCTGATTTCTATCAGACTTTGTTTTTCCAACTAATTAATGATAAGTTATTGAAAAATATGTATTGTTAATTTAATTATAGTCACATCTAAATATATTCTAACTTACTCATTTCCATAAAGATATCATTTTTTCAATTATTTAAGTTGGATATTTTTAACCCTTATCATCAAATAGAAAGTATGGTTTTGGAAAATTAAATTACTTGATCTTTGATTTTATAATCAATAAGTATAAAATCATTTTAACATCAAATTTTTTTCTTTTCTATTTGTATATTCCCTCCTGAAAAAAATAAGTTAGTTTATTATTTTAATAAAGTCAAATGGAAACTCTAAAATTTAATTGAACAATTATTGATTTTTTAGATAATATCTAATCTCTTTTTGTTTCACTTTTTGTATTTAAATTTCTATCATTGCTTAATTGATTTCTAAATTTTTACTTTTTATTCATAAAATTTTTAATGTTTCCCATTTTACCAGTAATTATTAGAAAGTGTAATTTAAATTAATTAGAAATACCAGAAATAATAAATATACTAAGTTTATATGTGTTTTATTAAATTTCATATTATATTTATGAATAGTTTAACAATAATCGAAGCTATTGTTTCTGCAACATTTGTTGCTTTAGCTGTAGCCAGCAGTGAAGCACTTTTAACTCATTAAAAAATCTTTAATAATGAATTCACAATGACATTATCTAAAGTAGAAGAAAGGATGTTTATTCCAGCTATGGTTTTTACAAATTTCCTGAAAAATGTAACTTTAAATTCATTATTCAGCCTTATTCCAACTATAATGACAACATTTTTTTGTATCATATTTGGATATTTGATAGGAGTTGTTATTAACAAATATTGTATTAAAAATAGAAAATCTATACTCCAGCATAGTCTTATCAGCTGCTAATCCCCATACTATAAATATATAATTATAAATAGCTTATGGTTTAACAACATCAATCTGAGAAAGAAACTGAATCTAAGCTTGTTACAATAATAATAATATAAACTGTGATAGTTAATGCTTTCAGATGGTCTATAGGAAAGAGAATACTGCAATAACATAAAGTCACTGAACAATAATCTGATGTGGAACTCTTAACTCTTAAGATTGCATAATAATAATAACAATTATAAAGTAATCAAAATAAAAAATAAGAATCCTCTTTTTGAAATTCTCCATTTATTTCAGTTATTGTCTCTTAACTTTGTTTACCAATTTACAATAAATTGATTAATGATACGTTTATGTATAGAGCTCTTTTCTTACCATTATAAACCATTTCAAAAGCTTGTCCCCCTTCTGTTTTAACGATATTGGGAAGTAATCTCTATTTCACATATTTTAAAAACACATAAAAAAAAGAATTTAATTACAATTCTTTTAATTTTTACTAACAGATTAATATTATTACCTATAATTGGATTGATAACTGTTTTGCTTTTAGATTATTTAGGTATAATGACAGATTTATGTGAATTATTCATTTTGTTTATTACTTTTTGTACTCCATCAGCAATCACTATTTTGGACATGGCAAAACAATATCAATAGTAATTAGAGGATGTAGTTTCATTAATGCTTTTTTATGGATATATATTATGCATTATAACCCTACCTGTTTGGATGACAATATATCTTGCGATTTTTTAACCCAAAAAATGATTGAATGCCTATTATTATAAATAAAATTAATTTGTTTCTAAAATATAAAATTAAATTGTTTTTTGCATGTTTAAACCCTTCTATTGTATTAAAAATAATAAACTGTTGAGCCAATATCATCAAATTTTTTTAATTACTTACTCCTATAAATATAATTATATTTTTCCATATTTATTAAAGAGCAGAGAAGAAAATATATAATAAATTTTTTTTGGTTCACATTTTTTTATATTAAATTCTATATTGTAACTGAATTTTTATTGTTATTCTTAATTTTACGAAAGTAAATCTTGGACCAAATTCTAAAATGATTAAATTTTGAACAACTAAGATTTACAAAATATTAAATTATAATTGTATTTTTTTTTAAGAATTTAAATTTTACCTAAACTATTGTTAAAATAAGATAAATTAGTATTGATAAATATATCAAGCATTTCAAATCTTTGATAATAAATAAATCATTATTTATAATGAAATATGATGATTCATATCTTAATGAGTATTATATGTTTTTAGTAAATTAATCCTTCTGTTCTTTTGTATTTTAATATGCATAGAGTTTTTATTCTTATTTAATTATGGTTATAATAT